TATGGGTAGGGAAGAGAGGAGGGAACAAAGAGGGTAGGAGAATGGGACTGAAATGGGGTAAATCAAATTCCACGCATATATGCTTTTATCAAAATGAAGACAATTATTATGTATAACTATAATGCTCTAATAAAAAATAAAAAATATTTTTGGAAGAAATATTTTGTTGCTGATACTGTTTAGACTTGATGTTGCGCTATGATAGAGTAACTTTTAGTTATTTTTTATATATATGTATAAATATTTTTTATACATAAATAAATATACATTTATTTATTATATGCAGGCACTGCATAAGAAATGTGGCAGCATAAAACAAGCCCTGAATTATGTTCACAGATTCTGTGGGTCAGAGTCTTGGAGAAGGCATAGTGGAGATAACCTGTCTCTGAATGTTTGGGGCCTCATCTGGGAAGACTTGAGTACCTGGAACTGGAATTATCTAGAGGCTTCCAGGTCATGTTTGGGCTATGGGATGAAATGACTAGAAGACATGGTTAGTGAGTTCTGCTGACCAGAGACCTAAACATGGAACCTCTCCATGTGGTTTGGCCAGAGTTCCAGGAGGAATATCCTGATGAGGAGGCTTCTAAAGAGAGAATGTTTCAAGATAGCCAGATGCAAACCACGTATCTTTGGCATTGAGAGTCATATAAGCATCACTTCTGTCATGCTGGTTTTTTTTTTTTTCCTCCCATTCCTGGGGATTGAACTCTTGGCCTCAAACATGTTAGGCAAGTGCTTTACCTTTGTGCTACATCTCTAGCTTTTAAGAAAAAAAAATTGTTGAGTCAGGGTCTTGCTAGGTTTCCCAGGCAAGCCTTGAATGATTCTCCTGCTTCAGCCTCCTGAGTAGCTAGGATTACAGGAATGTACTGCCATTCCCAGCCTGCAGTATTTTGTTGATTAAAGCAGTTGCAACGGGGTTGGGGATGTGGCTCAAGCGGTAACGCGCTCGCCTGGCATGCGTGCGGCCCGGTTTCGATCCTCAGCACCACATACCAACAAAGATGTTGTGTCCGCGGAAAACTAAAATAAATATATTTTTTTAAAAAAGCAGTTGCAACCCCATCCAGATTCAAGGAATGGAAATAAACTCCACTTATTGATGAGAGGAGTGTCTAGTATATTACCCTGCTGGACATTCCTCTCATCATTTCCACATCACTCCTGTAGAAATACTCTTCTGCAGAATGAGGGAATGAGAGTGATACTGAGATTCAGCCTAGCACAGGGCGTCTGTTATTCCCTAAATTCCTGGGAGTTGATTTCTTGGCTGTTGGCGCCACCGTCTGGGAGACACCCATCTTTTTTTCTATAAAAAGTAGCCTGTTTTACAATTAAGTAGTCATATTAGTTTACTTTTTCATCACAAAAATGTGGAATTTCAAAAGCATCTTCTTTTGAGGCTCTCAGTATGTATTTCTTTCAGTCCACATTGATATAATTTCATTAAAAACATTGTGGCCTTTAATGTAGCAGTTTATAAACCTACTTCAGTAGGCACAAGTTAAATGCACAAACCAGTCTGAGATAAATTCTTTTATATTGTTGAGTCTGTGAGGCAGCTGGGAATAATGCCTTTAAGGTTCTTAGAATCCCTACTATTTAATGGAGAGGATGGTGAGACTTATACCTCTGAGTCTCAGAGTGGCTTGCTCTACAGTGGTGTATACATGCTATAAAATACAGGTTTCCTTTTTCTAGCTTCCAAAGACCATTTTCCTTACTGCCTTTTTAAACCTCTTCCATTTTGCATTATTTCATGTTTGACTGCTTTTCTAGATTCCACCGCTGCCTGGTTCCAACACCAATGCTGCATATTTTTAGCTTATGCTATGGCTGCACCTTACTTCTGGAGACATTTTCTATTATGGCATAACAAAACATATCATCTTGTTATAATAGCTAATTATTTATGTTCACAATTCTGTAGACTGGAAATTTGACCTGGATTAACTGGGCAATTCTTCTGGTCTTGTCCAGACTCATATGTGCAAGCATTGTCATTCAGTGGGCAGGTCGGGGGTTGGATGGCCCCAGATATCCTTACCCTCATGTCTGGGGCATCAGCTGGGATGGCTGGAAGGGCTGGAACACCCTCTCTTCTTGAGGTATCTCATCCCCAGGAGGCTAGCCTTGATAGTCCCTCCAAGGCAGCAGTGTCCCAAGAGAGCAAGAGTGGTGGGTACAAGACCTCTTGACACAGAAGCTTGAAATCACACACTATCACATCTGATATATTCCAGTGGTTAAAAGATAGTCCCAAGGCCATCTCAGATTCAGGAGGAGGGGAAATAGACTCTATCGGTTAAAAATAGTTGGAAGGGCCTCTAGATAACAGGGACTAGAATAAGGCATGACATAGGGAGTCACTGTCTGCTGTTTGAATATGGGTGAAAACAAACAGTAGGACAAAATAAAAAAGCAAATGGGCAATTGGTCAACAGTAATGGCCACAAATAAGCATTTATTTGAGGAATAAATGTTATGATAGGTATATAATGGACATCTCTTATTTTCTTGTTGTATCCATAATACAGCTATGAATCTACTAGATTTCTTTCTGATGTCATCTTTATTTATATAACTCAATCTTTTGGAAGGGTTGTGGACATTTCCCTTTCTTTGTATATCTGAATTGTCCATTCTACATAAACCATAGCAAAATGTCACACTGATCATATATAATTATAATAAGAAAAGTTCCCTTTTCTTGTACATAATGAATCAAGAAATCTATAGCAAAAAGTCAGAAAATTTGGAAATGATATTAGGATTTGGATGGCATTTGGGCAGTAGAAAATAGGATGGGAACTAGTAGACCTTAACTCAGGGCTATATTATATATAGCCAATAACTGCCAACTAACTTATGTCCACATCCTCTTGTTTATGTAACAGTGGAACTCCTGTAGGACCAAAGACTAATTATCACTGTCTTGGTCTCTCTGGGCTGCCACAACACAATACCATAGACTGGGTGCTTACAAACAAGCCTCAGCAGATTTAATGTCTGGTGAGGGCCTGTTTCTCATATGTGGTACCTCTTGCTGCCTCCTCTTGTGAAATGGGAATGAACTTGCTCTCCTGGACCTCTTTTAAAAGGCCACTATTTTCAGTCATGCAGGGTAGCCCTTGTGACCATTTAATTACCTTTTAAAGGCCCTACTACTAATATCATCACCCTGGAGGTTAAGATTTCAGTATAGGAAATCCTCCCTATATTTTAGGGGGAGGGTTGTGCAATAAACTTAACTAACTGAGAGGAAAAAAATCAACACCAGAATACATCCTGATACATGTGGCTCAGCTGGTATAGTGGTATGTTTGGTGGGTGAACAGAAGGAGCCCCAAACCAATAATTCATGTACTTCCAAAGGGAAACTGTGAGGGTGAAAGAGATGTTGATCTCAGGAAAAACAACCCATTCTGGAAAAGTCAGGCTGATTTGGATGCCAAAGAAGATAAGGAGTCACAACAAATGATTTTTTTTTTTTTTAGGAGTCACAACAAATGATTTTTTTCCCCCCAGAATTATTAGTAAAAAGAAAATACACTAGAAATATTTTAAACTCTTAAGACAATAAAGAGTAGGGGATAGGAAAGGTAGCAGAATACAACAATTACTAATTGGGCATTATGTAAAATTGTGGATGTGTAACCGACGTGATTCTGCAATCTGCATTTGGGGTAAAATTGGGAGTTCATAACCCACTTCAATCTAATGTATGAAATATGATATGTCAAGAGCTTTGTAATGTTGTGAACAACCAATAAAAAAAAAGACAATAAAGATGTAGCTACCCGATGAAGAGATTGATGTTTTGTAAAATACAGGGGCTGATGATGTATTAGTCTGAGTCCTATTCGGAACTGAGTTTCTAGCACTAGATCCAGAGTCAGCAGCCTTATGATCAAAGTGTAACAAACTTTGCTTTGAGATGGTAGTTCCCATGACGATTCATTAGTGTCGACAGTTCTATGTAGGTTTTGGGCTTGCTTTCTTCTTTCCATCTCCCATGGGGATATCTGTCCTGGAGCGTTCTCAAAGCTTTGCCAACCTCTGAGTTCTTAAAGATGACATGCCCCAGAAGTGTTCACATCTTTACAAGCACCATTGAAAGGCTGAAGAGCTCTGACATTGAACATGTGGTGGAAGCATCATAACAGGCTCAAGGCATGTGGTTTTTTGACCATTTGTTTTTGATGTCGGAGTGTCCTGCCTGGTCCTCAGATTGCTTTCCTTGGATGCTGCCTAATTTCTGGCCTCCTGTCAGGGCAGCTCTGACAACAGCCCCCTGAGCTTAGGAATCTATTATGCTGCACCACCCGACTCCCCCCGCCCACCATCACTTTATCTGTTGATGCTTCCTGTGGTTGATTTCAGCAGCTGATTCTGTGAACGGTTCTGGCTGTGTTTTGGCATGTCCTGTGGTGTCCACTGATGCGTTCTTCAGGTCTTCAGAGTGTGTTGGTGAGAGTGAGAGGCTTGCTTTGGGGCCATCAACTCAGCACAGCATGGCACCTTCTTGTCCTTGAATGCAACAAGGACAGACTAGCTGCTGTGGAAATCTGCTCTTCCAGTGGTGGATAAAATAATTTTGAAAGAGTTTATTCCGGGAGTTAAATTCTTCCTTTCCTACTCTGATGTGCTCTCTCTAAACCACAGTTCTAATTTTTCTTTATATTTCTGTTGAAAGCTCTTGAATCATTAACTCCAAATAATCCTGAAAGTGTCCTCATCCCCTGGCTTTTCAGTACAGTTCTACTGATCTTTGGAATGTTTCTTACCCTCTCACTAGAAGACACCTTTCACCTTTCTTTTTGACTACAACTGGAATCTCACTGATTAGAGAATAACCTGCATTTTGGAAACCAGCAGTACTTTGAAATGAGCTGTTAACTTCTGGTGGTCCCTTAAGTTTCCATTATTTTAGTTCTTAGCCAAGTTTACCTAAGGGATCAGTTTTTAACTGATTTCATCACTTTTGCTTCTAGAACTGCAGTTCCCATGTTAGAAGAGCAGTCGTCACCTGCTTTTCCGCAGGGTGCTGCGGTCGTCACGGAAACAGGCCTGTTCGGTACTGCAAAAGATGCCACTCGAATCATCACAGTAATGAGGTGGGGGCCGCGGCGGAGACCCACCTCTATCAGACCTCGCCACCCCCGATCAACACGCGGGAGTGCGGTGCCGAGGAGCTGGTCTGCGCGGTGGAGGCGGTGATTAGGTAACGCAGCTAGCCAGAGGTGTCTCTGAAGACGCCCTGTGTCCGCACTGACCTTGGTGCACCAAGAAGCTTACATCCAAACCCAAGTTCGGATGCCCGCAGTCTAGCAGCTCACCTTCCTGCAGAGTGGCCACGATGATGCTTTCAATTGTGAATTCAATAAATATTTTTGTCCAATGCCAGGTACAGGCCAGGCATTGCACTAGGCACTTGGGAGACGGAAGTGTCTTCTAATTACTCAGGCAGGGACTAGAAGAACTTACAAGTTTGTAATTGTGAACCACTCTAATGAGCAATGACAGCCCTGAGCCAGGGGTAATAGGTAACTGGAGACCTCATCAGAGTGAGGGGTGGGGATAGGGATGCCTGCCTTGAGTGACAGCAGCATTAGCCAGTAAGGAGAGCAGCAAAGCCACAGGAACAAATCTTTTGCGTGTGAGCAAGAAGGGGGGGGGCGGGGGGAAGGACTCCAAGTTCTGTGGTACTGAGGTCAAGTTTGAGGCCCAGGAATTGAGACAGGGCCCGATCTGAAGGCTACAGGGGTTTTCTCCTTCTATTAGATGAAGGAGAAATCAGCATTTGAAATGATAATCTCTATACTTGTTGTTCTTATTCTTTTAAAAATATACGTAATATCCAAGGAAGCAAGATTAAAAACAAAACAAAAACACCACTGTTAGAATGTAAGTTTTAAGGACAGAGAGGGTCTTTTCTGTTTCTCTTATCCCAGCTGTTGACACAGAGTAGAAGAAATGTTTGTTAAATCAAGCATCATGGCAAGTTTGGAAACAGAAAACAAAACAAACAAAACCAAACAGCCATACTGTCATCATGGTTAGTTTTGCACATCATCTAGTTTCATTCGAATTCAAGTTTTATTTATATAACTCTAATCACAGTGAATCTGCTGCTCTTTTTGATACAACATTATATAATTAGCTCTTTCAGCGTTGTGAAGTTCCGTATTTTATCACTTTTTAGTGAATATATCATATTCATCTAGATATAACTTATTTACTTCCACCATTAGATATTTAGATTGCGTCCAATTTTTCAAATTTTATAAAGAACTCTTTAATATGTTTGTGCATAATGCTCTTCTTGTGCTCTTTACTTTCTTAGGGTAGATTACCAGATGTGGGTTAACTAATCAAAGGGTCTGAATATTTTAATTGTTCTTGATAATTTAGTAAATTGCTTTCCAAAGCATGTATATGAATTTACAATGCCAACAGTGTATATGAAGTTATTAGTTTTTGCTAAACCCTTATCAACATTATTATTTTTAAAGTTGTTATTTGTTTAGCAAATTGAAAAGGAGTCTTCATTTCAGGTCTTTGAATACCAAATATTGAATATTTTTCCATTTGGATACAGGTGCTCAGTTTCTCCTTGAATCATACATTTCCTATCTATATGCCTTCATGGTAGACGTGAAGAAGAATGGACTCACAGTAGGATGGTTGGTGAACCAGAAATTAGAGACATCAGTTCTGCTTTTTTATAATTGATGGGAGGCAGTAGCCTGGTTGTGCCTCAGTTTGTTTGTTCATCTTTGAAATGGGAATAGAGTACAAAATAGTAAAAAAATGAAATTAGGCTTCTTTATGTAATTCACACCAATTTAAAGGAGGTGATCTGTGATGCTTGAATTAGTTGCTCTGGATAGGTTATGATTTGCAGTGTGTTTTTCCATAATCTAATTTGAAATCACCCCATTTTGTCAGCTTATTGAAAGAAGCCGAGTTCCATGCTGAGCAGCGGGAACATGAGTTGAATCGCCGGCGGCAGCTGGGCCTCTCCTCTTCCCACCATTCCCTGGATAATGCTGACTTTGATAACAAGGACGATGATAAACACGACCAGAGGCTGCTTAGTCAATTTGGAATATGGTTCTTAGTAAGAAAAAGAAGTTAACTATTCTCTGCTTTCTTGTTTTTTATTGCACTGATGAGGGATTTCTCCTGTTCTTTTGAAAGGAGTAAATACTAAATATTGAAAAATTATCTTAGTGCTTATAAATTAATCTTAGGGCTGTATACTTTGAGGTGCAGTGGCTGTCAGCTCTGGGTTGCCCATTATATTTACCTAAGAAAATGTTTAGAAACTAACAGTGTCTAGATCTTACCTATAGTTCTGGAAATGTTTTAAAAAGCTCCCTGGTTGACTTTAATAAACACTTAGGCATTGAAACCTACAATGTCACATATTTGCTTGGTTGAAATGCACTTTCTTGACAAGGAGCAAATGGGAAACTTGCTAGTATGGATTGTAAAGTACTGGGTTCAACATAATTTACAGATAACTTACATCCTTTCTTTCATGTACATGAAATTTTTCTTGAAAGCCGTTTCTATGGAGCTTTATGTATATTTAAGTCAGGTTCTTGTACACTACGGAAATCACAGCCAAACTTACACAAGGAATCAGTAATAGCAACTGACTGATTCCACTGCAACTCTTATTCAGTGGAGATTAACCATATAGATCTAAAACCTGAAGCCAGCCAAATGCACTGATTGTGCAGAGAAGCAGGCTTTTATTTATTCATTTATTTTGCTGGCTACAGACATGGATTAAGTCTCCATAGTGATGTGTTTCTTTTATGCTTGCACACAGTTTCCTGAAAAAGTCTTTACCAAATTGGGATTTAATTGTTGATTTTGCATGTCTTGCTTCCAAGAACTTGTTATCTAATAATACCATGGCTACTATTGCTGGGAACTCTGATGGCAGGGGCAGTGCTTTCTTTACTTTTTGTATTCTTATACCCTGCTACAATACTGAATAAAAGATTATCTCCAAATAAATGAATAAATGATTTTTTTAAATCTACTTATAATATGGTAATAAAGTAGGGGCCTCAAAGTATTAGAATTATTACTTCTACAAAATTCTTACCTAAATCTGATCATGTTAGAAATGAAACGTATGTATATTATTTTTCTTTGAAGATATTCATGAAATATCACTTCATGGACTTAATTTTAGGAAGCATTATCTAGCTAGGTTATGTAATAGATTTCTTATAGGAAAAAAATGCTATTGGAAGGCAGAATCTTGAGGGGACATTATTGTTGCACTCCATCTGTCCCTGTAGAGAGGAACATAATTTCTGGATAAATGATCATCATTTATAAAACTGCCTGTTTCAAATAGATTTTCTGGAACATTGCTTTTTTTTTTTTTTGCCTATAAATGTACATGCAGTAATTTTGTAATGAAGGACGGAGACTGAACAAGTGTCTACTCTTTCTGCCCCAGGTGAGCCTGTGCACACCCAGTGAGAACACGCCTACAGAAAGTTTGGCCCGGCTGGTGGCCATGGTATTTCAGTGGTTTCACTCCACAGCATACATGATGGATGATGAAGTTGGAAGCTTGGTAGAAAAACTGAAGCCACAGTTTGTCACCAAGTGGTTGAAGACAGTATGTGATGTTCGCTTTGATGTCATGGTCATGTGCCTTCTTCCTAAACCCATGGAATTTGCCAGGGTAAGTGGAGGCCAATAGCTTGAACCTTGTTAGGAGGAGGGCTCAGGGAGAAGCACCACCTTGACTGTCAGAGTGTTGTCATTGTGGACAGAGGAGTAGCATCTCTCTTTCATCTTTTTAATTCTGACCAATAGCCAAAGAAGTTTAATAAGTTCATCTTCTGTGATGTGCTGCTTTGATGTTGGTTTGGGATATGGAAGAATGAATGGCAAAATGGATTTTTGAGGTATCTTTAAGAATTTAAGAAAGCATTCTCTCTTGACATTGCTGAATATATCTTTTAAGAAACAAACAGCCTGGAGTGGTGGCACATGCCTGTAATCCCAGTGGCTTGGGAGGCTGAGGCAGGAAGATCGAGAATTCAAAGCCTGCCTCAGCAATTTAATGAGGCCTTAAGCAACTCAGCAAGACCCTGTCTCTAAATAAAATCCACAAAGGTCTGGGCATGTGGCTCAGTGGTAAAGGGCATCTGGGTTCAATCCCTGGTACCAAAAAACAACCAACAGCATTCACAGCTTTTTCTGTGGGGTTGCTAGGGCTTAGTCCTTTCCTGGCTTAGTCTGTGGAAAGGCTACTATTGAAGAAGGACTTTCTGTGGTTCTAAAGATGGTGGTACAGTTCCTACACTGTCATTTGAAATTTTAAAACTGCTCAGAGACTGCCAGAACACTTCTATTTTCCCAGTTTAGGGGGCAGATTTCTCTGTGAGTACCTTTTGCTTCTCTCAGTGGATCACAGGTTGCAGATGTACAGCTGGGAACACCTCATATATTTTCAATATGATATAATTTGTGTGTAACCCAGAAAAAATAGATGCCCCAAATCAGTTTTTGGCAAGAATACATGAAATTTTTTTCCAAGTATTTTTTTAAATGTATTTTTTAGATGTTGATGTACCTTTATTTTATTCATTTTATTTATAGGTGATGCTGAGAATTGAACCCAGTGCCTTAGACATGCGAGGCAAGTGCTCTACTATTGAGCTACAGCCCCAGCCCTCTAAGTAGTTTTTAAGTTTTATTTGTAATTTTTTTGTTTCCTTTCAAAAAGACCTTTAGGCAATTTTCAATTTAAAACTACATTGAAATAGGACACTTAAGGATAAAACAGAACACAGACCATCTGAAGGAGTAGCTTTTATTTGATTTCCAGGACTCAGTGATGTGTGCATTTATCAAGATATACTTCTTTTTTCTTTGGTGCCACCTACTGACTCAATTATAAACTTGCGTTTTTACATAATGGAAATTTCCCATTTACTGGAATTCTTTGCCTGTATTAATATGTTTTCTATCATTATTTCTCTTAAAGTGGTGAAGAATTGTTGTAATCCAACATGAGAAGAATATAAGAAGAAATTATTATGTTAATAGGAAAACTTTTCTTAATTGGGTCCAGTTTTTGGTGGTCTGAAAGTTAACTGATAATAGAGTAACAGTAGAGAAGACACGGTTTGTTTATGAGTACATGTGGGAGTACTCAATGATGAATTACTCCCCGAATAGAGAGAAGTAAAAGATTTATATGTCAAACCGAACAAAGGGTGTTTTTTTTTTTTTTTTTTTTAGGAGTTGCTGAGATGTTTTGGAAGTTTTTTTATTTTTTTGACACTACTGCATATGGGCAGGAAGTGGCCTGTCTGCATGGCAGCTGAATTCATAGGAAACTCCCTTGGGAGGGAGGTTTATTTTCTGGACTCTGTTTTAGTTCAATATTAGAAATTCAGATAAGGTTTCTTTCTGTTCCTTCTTTAGCTCAAATGTTTTCACTTTAAAATAGTCTTGATGCCAATTCTGGGCGTTTGGGTGGATCCTCACCTTTCTTCCTCTGAAACTTCCCTTGAATTTTCACACTTACAAAAGAAGCTAGGTAGATTGCTGTGGAGAGAAGCTTCTAGTTAGGAAATGTGAGGTAAGAGATCTGCACAGGGGAAAAAGCATAGATTAGCATGAGGAACAAAAAAGCAAAACAAAGATTAATGATTGTAGTAAATTATAAATCTAGTTTCTGAGTCCAGAGAACAGTAGTTGAGAACATTTTAGATATTGGACTGGAAGCATCTTGATGGAAGGGGTAAGAACATTAGTGTCACAATTACATTATTTCCCAGAGCAGAACATGAAAGATCATGGGGGTTTGACGAACTTCTCGAATGGCAGAAATTATTGTAGTAAGCCCTTTGAAATTTATATCAAGCCATCCAGCCTCAATATGTGAGGTTTGGGGACAAGACAATGAAAAGCCTTAATAAGAGTCTGGGCATTTAGGTTTTAATTTTCAGTTGTTGACACATTAGGAGAAAAAAAATAGAAATATTAATCATTGATAATATGGGCAAGATGGCAAAAGCCAGTTTACAAAGGGATGAAAAATAGCTCAAAGATAATTAACAGGACTAGAATCTGGGATGGGTTATACTTTTTCATTGAAACATAAAATTTCTTTCTCAAATCATCAAATAAATCTAGTCCCATTAAATCTGCTCTGATGATAAACATAAATACAGCAAGAATGATGATTGACTATATAGGCTTTTTAAAATTTGCTCGACAGAACTTTTATAAGAAATCTCAGGTTGGACCTTCAGAAGACTCTCAATGCCAGAAACCCAGGCAAGAACTCATCATCAGACTTCTTCCATGGTACCTATAGATCTGCATTCCTTTCTTCCTAAGGTTCCCTAAGTATTCTAGGACCTTGGCCTTGCTAGGAATTCCTTAATCACTTGTAAGGCTGAGGCTGCTGTAAGCCAGATACCAGGCTGGTTTTTTCAAAAAGGGCTTTGTAAGTGCTGGCTTTGTAAAGTCAATCATAGTTCCTTAAAATATGAATATTTTGTTCTATGCACATTTTCAAAGACGACATTACACAAGCTTTGGTAATTCAACCAATTTTTTCAATTATGAACTGTTACAAGTAGGACAGATTCTTAATGAATTTATGCAAATAACTATAATGCTATGAAAATAAGAATATTCAATAGGAGTTTCCAAATCCTGGAGGAGTTTGCTAGGGAGAAAAAGGTAAATGTTTCAGTTTTGTTTGTGAAGGTATAATCTGCCACATCTTTGTGAGTAGGTGATAGCTTAGAAGAAAAGAGAAGAGGGTTCCTTATATCCAGAAAATAGAACATTAGAAAACCATGAAGATTAAAATAATTTTCAACAGTTCATTTCATTTGGTCTCTTTAATCTGCTCTGGGTTAGCAGTTTGACGAGCCACCACCTTCTCCACAAGGGTTTTAGCAATCCGTCCTCAGTCCAGTGGTCTGAGCTCAAAGTTACTGAAGCGCTGCCATAAGAAGCCTGTCCCCAAGCACACCTGCCACAGTCCTTTCCATGAGCTTCAGTCTTTTGTTGATGATAAAGCATCCTGGCTAGGTGGTGATCACAGGAGTTATCAGGAAAGCATCATAATTAAATGATGCTATCTGAGTGACAAAAGGCTTAGAATTAGAATGGCTGTAATGATCCAATGTTTATTATGATGTGGCTGACAAGGAAATTTTGTTGTTTCTGCAGCATACAACTTTCAGATTACTGAAATTACAACTGATAACATTTTGTCATTGTTGTCTCATATCCGATAAAAAAAGCTTAAGGATTTAGGGCAGTGTGGACACTGACAGAGTTCTAGGAATTTCTTATAATTCCTAAAATACTTAGATTAGTATCATTTACCTACACGAAGAAAACCTAGGAAAGGTTAAGCTCCTCTTCTCATTTGACAGTGCTTTCCATGCAATTCAACAAGTCAGACAAACCTAATTAGTTTAGCTATGTTTGGCAAAGTGAGAACAAATCTTCGGAGATTTTCAAGGGCTTACTGGGGAAATCTTGAAGTCAGACTGAGACCAATGTTTTATTTAGAATTTGATTTTGGAAAGGCAAAATTAAAAAAAAATGTTAAAAAAAATGTCAAAAGTTTCAAACACTGGATTAACCAAAAATCACAGATCACTGTGAAATAATTCTTAGTTGTTCATTTAACTAAAATGGCAATGAGAGATTTTGAAAGTAAATATAGGAAGCAACATGGTCATAAAAAAACAAAAAAACAAAACAAAACAAAAACAAAAGAAAAACAAGGGTTGTGATGTAGCTCAGTGGTAGAACACTTGCCTAGCAGGAATGAGGTCCTGGTTTGAATCCCCAGCACTACAAAAACAAAAAACAAAACAAAACAGAAACTTTCGTTCTTTTAACATTGAGAAGACTTTTTTTTTTCTAGAGTAATCCAGGATGTGCTAACCACAACAAAAAACACAGGAAGTTACTCATTTATTTGTTTTTGTGGTGCTAGAGATGGAACCCAGGGCCTTGCACATGCTAGACAAATGCTTTACTGCTGAACCTCACAGGAAGTTGTTGTAATATGACAGGCAATCTTTGTTTCCATCTTAGTTTACTTAAGCTGCTATCACAAAATATCATGGATTGGGGCGGTTTATAAACAGTAAACACTGATTTCTCACAGTTTTGGAGGTTGGGAAGTGCAAGATCAAGGCAGATTCAGAGTCTGGTGAGAGCTTTTCCCTGTTTTATGACAGTTCTTCCTGGTTGCATCCTCATGTGGTAGAAAGGGCAAAGCAGCTCCCTGGGGGTTCTTCTATAAGGCACTAATCCCATTTCAGAGACTCTGCTTTTGTGGCCCCAAAGCCTCCCCAATGGCCCCTCTTCCAACATCATCACATTGGTGATTAGTTTTCAACATATGAATTCAGGAGACTGTAAACAATGAGACTAAGCAGTTTTCTAGGCAGACTGCTCAAAGGGTCAGAAAAATCTTTTGTAATCTCTTAACAAGAACAGAAGTAACATAATCCAAGAAACTTTGTTCTAGGAAAGAGAGAATGCCACTGGGCTCAATCCCTTACACACACACAAAAAAAAAAAAAAAAAAAAAAGAAGAAGAAGAAGAAGAAGAAACTAAACTTTATTTTTCATCAGTATACTAATAATATTAAAGCTCATTTTAAAATGTTGTAATGTAATAAATAC